TCATATTGAATGCGGCGGCAAATATATTTTGTGAAATTATCGAGAAATTGACAATTTCTAATTGCAAACTAGTTTTATTTTTGGATGGAAAAGCAGCCATTGTTATCTTGACATTCATTGAAGTAATCAGGATAGGGTAGGTTACTTCTCAGATGATTCAAGAGGTCCATTTTGTGGATAATCTTTTAATTTCTTAGAATGTTCGACTGTGTTGCAGGGTACCGGGTGTATGCCATTGGGTGTGATGTGTTCGCGCGCTATAAGTACAGGCCACAGCGCCGCCGGGTGTATTCTCGTACTGATGTAGGTGCAAAGCTAGAATGGCTACCACGCCCACTTCCCTCTCTATGCCTTTCTGAACATTCCTTTCCTTCTCAATACAATAACTTTCACCTGCCTAAGTTATTCAAACCATACCGCCTCGCCACTTCCATTACGTAATCATTAAAAGGATCCGCATATACAACATTTTCCTGCTATACGTTGTACTGCAGGAAAATACAAATCTCCCTGGTATACCTTACAGTCCCAACGATAAATATGTGCCTTTAACGAAGCAGGCGACAATCGGCGTAGCAGACGACACTTGATAGTAATTTTCTATGTGAGATTGCTTTGCTAAATATAAATTACTTTGTTAATAAATATCAACTAAAATTTCTTTTACATTTCTTTAAACCATCATTGATATTTAATAATTCATGAGTGAGTAAAAGAAACATACCAAACTATATAATTATATGAAATACTTGCTGGCAATTAGGGGAGTTTGACGTGATGACCGATTGCACCCTTCTGTTAATAACCGAATAGTCCATGGTGTGTCATGAATATTCATGTTTTTGCTTACCTCGGCTAAATGTTTGCTTCTAATAAGTTGAAAAATTACGGTGGGGGGTTGGATGAAATGGACATAATGAAATAGGCAGAAGTGATCTATTATAATTCATGCTTTTTATGTTTTGTGTGCTCGACCTATAATCTTCAAATCGCTTGGCAAACTGAGTCCAAAGTCAGACTTGTTTCACATGTGTATTATAGGCAATGACGAGCTTGCAACCTATTTTGAAAAATTACGGTGGGTGAACGTTCAAAAGTCAATGAGACATGAGGGCTCCAATGAAAGAGCTAGTGATAGCGTACGTCGGGTGGATGTGCTTTTCGTTTAAACAAAATATGAATTTTTAACGATTTTTAAAAAAAACGTCCATAGGCTAACATGTTAGGCTGCTGACTCTGACCATGCTCTGACGATAGGGGGCGTTGTGAAATGAGACTAAACGGAGCTATATGCTGGGCATATTGCTCCGTTTAGTCTCATTGAGAACGCCCCCTATCGTCAGAGTCCAGCAGTCTATAAACATATTAGCCCATGGACTTTTACCTCCAAAATTGGAGGTAAAATTGGAACCCTCGTGTCCTATTGACTTTTGAAAGTTCACCCACCGTAATTTGATCAAAATAAGTCGCAAGCTCGCCATTGCATATATAACGCATGTGTAACAAGTCGAACTTTGGACGCAATTTACCACGCGATTGTAAGATTATAGGTCAAGCACACGAAGGATAAGAAGCATGAATTGTCATAGATCAGTTCTGCTTGGTTCAGTATGTCCACTTCAGCCAACCCCCCACCGTAATTTTTCCATTTAGTATAGGCAAACATTTTACCGCGGTAAGCAAAAACATAAATATTCATGACACACCATGTACTATACGATTATTAACAAAGGGGTGCAATTGTGCACCACATCAAACTCACCTACTTTTAGTCAAGTATTTCATTGTATTATGTAGTTTGGTAGGTTTATTTTACTAACTGTTTAATTATCAGATATCAATGATAGTTTAAAGATATGGAAAATGTTCTTGTATGTTATATTAAGCAAAGCAATCTCACATACAAAATCACTGTCCAGTGTCGTCTGATCCGCCGATTGTCGTCTGCTTTAAACGTTCTATAGACGGCGAACTAGCTACGTTTGTGCTGGCGAAAATGAGACAACCGGAGCATAATTTCGTATTTATGACAAAAATTGTATCAGTTTAACAAAGACCAATTTTCATTGATGTTTCTTTTGTCACTATTAATTTTGCGCCCCTCTAAAAAGTGGCGCCCAGGGTACGCCCACCCCCCCCCCCCCAACCAGCTTGTACATCATGCGCATACAAAAACACATAGGAAAAGGATATCTCATTTAGGGCATCAAAAATAAAAAAATAAATCACATTTTTGAAGAAAAAAAGGTTTTAAAATCACACACCGCTTACGTTAAAAGGGTACATAATTCATAAATCATACACACAAGATGACGAGATTAAAAGGAACACTATTTGAGTGTTAAAGCAACACGCCGATTACACTGTTAAATTGTTAATCAGGAAAAATTCCACAATCGTGTGTAGAAAAACCTTCAGGGAAGTTTAGGGTATAGAACTTTTCTAAAATTAATGGTAAATGACATACTTGTTCAGGGTATGATTTGGGGCTTCGATGAAATACTTGCTTAGGGTACATGTATGCGCATGATGTACACACTGTAGCACAAACGTGACGCACACTTGAAAGTTTGTCAAAGTGGAACAAGGAATCTCAGTCTAACGATATGTCCATTATCAGCTACTGGGAATGAGGGGAACAAAATCAACCACTCAACCACTGTTGTTTGTGTCCCCGGGAAGTGATCCAACTTTTGTTCTTCTCGGTACTTTGTTTAGGACAGCAATATGGTCAATATGGTCACCTTTCTACCACTCTGGCTGCATCTAAATGGTGATATTAATGACGTCGTGTACATCGATAAAGATGTGTCAGCTTCCGGGTCAGCTACATTCCCGAGGCTTTCTCCCTGGTGCTTTCTACCCATGTACTACACGCTCCCTGCCTGGCCTTGTCGACTCTTAAAACTAATGGGAACATTCCCGAGATCATAAATTAATAACTTTAATATACACTTTGTATGATTTTCTCCGATTTGGGCCGATTTGGAACTGAATGATCATAAGGGAGCGTGTGCGATAGCTTCAGCTTGCCGCCGAATTCGTCACCCTTTCCGGGACCCTTTCCCGGATTGAGTACTGCCAAAGCATGAAAATGGGCATAATGTCAATAGTAATAGGGATACACAAAGAATATTACAGTATAAGACAGTATATTTGGCTATTGTACTGCCATGTCCGCCAGCGCAGAGTGGTGGGTTTGGTAAAGCTTCCTGAATCTGGCCTTCAGTCTTGCTGACCACAGTCCACGTGCAGTCTCTTGTTTTGGGTCTGTTTTATGTTTTTAGTCTTTAAGTTTACCCCGCCACAGGATTAGGGTTAGGAGTAGACCGAGGGATTAGATAAAAAGAGAAATTGGAATGGTGTGATATTCTCCCAGGGACCAGGAACCCGGGACCAGGATATTTTTTAAAAGTTTGGAATGAATTAAAATTCTGTTTTAGTATTTTAATTAATGAAAATTTATATCTCCGGGCTAAGGCCCATAGGGTACCCCTGGTCTTATTTTCATTTTCTTATGAAATTTAACAAAATGTTTAAAAAAAACTACTACACTAGGCACGATGAAAGTCATATTTTGAAAATAAGCGATTTTCTATCCCAAATCCAGTCATTTATATCAGTGATGTCATGAAAGTCGGTTTCTATCATAATTGTAGATATGGTCTTGAGTTATGATTCTTTTATATGGATCCATGTTAGATTTTAAGAGAAGAGAGCGGGTAATCTGTGTGTCAATTGATTTTAATCGTTTGTGAGTCTTTGTGATCTATTTCACCAATTCAATGTACTTCAAATTAATGATGTTTTGTACCAGTTACTCTCGGTTATTTTGTGAGTGTGTATGCGTGGTGGAGGAGGTGGGGGTATTGGCATATTTTTTTTTGGGGGGGAGGGGGGTACAAAATTGTGCAGGAAGGTGCTCCTAAAACGCTAATACCTAACAACAACAACATGTTTCAAAAACCTGCTTTGCCCTCGTATAAAGCGCTGTGGCATTCGAGGAATTTCTTCCTACCTGGTACCCATTAACATCGCATGGGTGGTAACAGTATTCAGCAATCGTGTCTTGTGTATCCACAAGTTGCAACAAAAAAGGGTTCTAGGACACTACCCCCCTGGACATCCGCCCCCGGAAAACCACCCGCAGTCAACTTCCCCATAGGAAAAATGCCCCCGGGACAACTACCCCCCGGACAACTACCCCTATGACAACTACCCCCAAGGAGAACTACCCCGGACATCTACCCCCTAGGGGGTAGTTGTCCTAGCGGGTAATTATCTGGAGGTAGTTGTCAGGGGAGTAGTCGTCCTAGAGGGTGGTTGCCCTAGGGGGTAGTTGTCCCGGGGGTGTAGTTGTCCTAGGGGTAGTTGACTGGGGGTAGTTATCCGGGGGTGGATGTCCAGGGGGTAAATGTCCGGATATGACCAAAAAACACCAAACAGTTGGGAAGATGTGACTTGGTCTAGAGGTACCGTTAGGTCTGTCTTTACTTACACATTAACTCTGACTCAAACTGTGTGATTAGGATGTAGTATGACTGGACCCTGCAAAACACAAATCATTGACAAAGATTTACGTCAGAATGGGTTGTCAGATGCCCCCTAATTGTCCACTGATTGTCGCTTATCTTTCCTCTGTTTTTAAAGAAACATCACGAACCTAAATATGTCAATAACGTGAACTGTGTGGGGTACTAATTAACAAACATAATAATGATATGTATTGAAGGGCTATGGCTATATAACTACAATGTTGCGAAAATAGCTTGACCGTTTATGAATTGGATTGAACCAATAGACTCATAACGACAATTGTGGTAGTAGAAAGGCCCTTTCTTATCTCTCTGTTTTTGAACTCATTTGAGGGAGTCATGAAAAAAATTGTCTAAATGTAGCCCGAGACCCCCCCCCCCCCCCCCTTACGGTGAGATGTTGTTAATATCTTACCCATCATTCTCACGCTCGTTTGCATCTTGTTCTGATCCTCTCCTTTTCAGGTGAACACGGTGAGATGCCTGACAAAGTACAACGATTCAGAGAGAAGTTAAAGGCTAGATATATCAAAGAATTTAGCGAGGTCAAAGTATCTCCTATGGACCCCGATTCACGCACATGGCTGCAGCATATCTTCGTCAGTCTCATTTTAATGTTAGGGTGTACAGGAGATCAGAAAAAAGAAATTCGATATGAGGATCTGTTCAGTTTCATTCAAAAAAAGACTGAGAAAGGGTTCATAACACGATTAGCCTTTCTTGGAGAAGCTGGTGTGGGCAAATCGACATTATTTGCAAAAATAGCCCTCGATTGGGCGATGGGTAATTGTCTCCAAGATATCACTCTTCTCTTTCACGAATCATTTCGAGACATAGAAGATAGCCCCTTCTTTGGTGATATCGTTATGAATCATTTCCCAGATGACACAGAGATTATAGGGGAATGGATTGATAAATACATCAAGGATAATCAAAGGACAGTTCTGATTTTACTGGACGGACTGGACGAGGCTAAAATGGACATAAAATGTCCAAACCGTAAACTTGCTATCGTCTCGATCGCAAGAAGGGAGAGATTCATTGACACATCCGTTCTCATTAATTCACGTCCTTTTGGAGCTGATCAAATCAAGAGCATTCCGAGAATCCATGAAGAGTATTCTTACATACTGGTTGAGGGTTTTACGAAAGAAAACACAAAGGAATACGTCAAACATTATTTCAAAAATGAAACAGCTTCTGCATCCAGTCTTATCCACTTCATGAACACTAGCAGTGTCGTTTCTGAGTATATGGCACCATTCCCAATATTTTGCTGTATGCTGTGTTACATGTGGAAAGTAGAATCTAAGCGCAAAACAATTGAGAAGCTACAAACAATCTCCCAACTAATGAAAGAGATGGAATTCGCTCTTAGGGAACAATATTCGTCAAAATACACTGACAGTGAGAGAGGGTACCAATGTCATATGGAGAAGGCTGTTGAAGCCATTAGAAAGGTTGGTCGTGTGGCCTTCGAGGGGTTGCTGAAAAATCAGCTCATCTTCATCAAAGAGGAGATGGAAGCCTGCGATGAGGCTGCAGCAGTAGCATGTCATGTTGGGATTCTGAGTGAGAAAAAAAGGTTGGCCTCAAAGGAAATCAGACAACAAGAGGGAAAGCAATTCGTTCAAGAGTTCTGTTTCCCTCACAAGCTACTGCAGGAACACACCGCAAGCCTATACCTTGCATCGCTGTATAACCACAATCGTTCGAAATTCAACAGAATCTTGACACACAAGCTGTTAAATGACTACAATGAATTCAGATATGTCTTGTACTTTACTTTAGCTCATGGAGGTGAAGTAGGAAAGTCGGTTCTGGAAGCCCTATGCAAGAAAATTGATGACATCAAGTTCATCATTCAGTGTGCATTTGAATGTCATAATTCAGAAGCCATTGGTCCCGTCAGGAACCTGCTGAATACGGAAACATATTTTAGTGTATCAACTTCTAGTCTGTTTTCAGTTCCAATCGCCCCATTTCTCTTCACACTGGAAGCAATAGGGAAGGAAGTAGTAAGTTTTGTGAATAGAATAGTAGACGTATCTCATTTACATTCATCTAGTCTAATTGATATGTTATTATATCGACGGAATACTGTGCTTTCAATAATTACATAATCAGTATAATTATGCAAATTTGGCTACAAACAAATGGACAACTAAACATTATACCGTCTGTTATTTGCTTTCCGGTATTCTTACCCATAATCATTTAGAACTGCCATTTTGTCATTATATACGTACTATAGTGGGTTGTATTCCAATGTGTATTGTGTAACCAGTCTCACATGAGAACGAGAATCATGTTACCGTTTGCCTCTTTCTCATAAAATATATAAATTTAAAGGACTTACTAAGAAAGAAATAGAGTAACAATTACGGTTCTTTCAGGATTAAACAAAGAGAAAAAGTGAAGCCAACCAAACGAACTATAGAAAATATAGGTCATTCTATATTCAATATACCCTCCATAGCTACCTCAATAGCTATCAAAATTTCAGGTATAGATATTACAGATAATACAACAAAAACGATAAGTCTAAATTAGATTTGTCCTGTTCATACCACCTGCCATAATTCGTGATGATAATAATGAGTGCTTCTATCCACGCTATTTACATGATACATGATGTCAGAATCTTGCATAATGGTGAAGACATCAAGATAAATAACTTGGTGTGTTGTTGTATTACTTTTACAAACAAATGCATGCTATAAGAATTGTTAGCATATGTTTGGTTTTGATTGATTGAAAGTATTATTTATAGATCGAATATAGATTGAATGCTAAAATCCTTTTTTTTTTGTACAGGTAAGAAGAAGTTCCTCGATTCGTGAAACATTGGCTGTTAGCGAGTCTTTCGAAGGTAACGCATCATCGTCTGATGTCGCAGCAGCAGTAGGACTCTTCACATTGCAGAACTTACGGGAATTGGTCATCACAAACGCGCGCCTGGATGACAAATTCTACACAGGAATGTCTGCTGCAGCTTCACGGTCCAAGGTTTCTGATTATTATATTAACCTTCATGAATCCTAAATCATAATTATCATTATTTCTTATCCGATGCATGCTATTTGTTTCTTAATAAGATAAGGAAAAGTATTTCATTCATGCACAAAGTTTGGTTATTTACACTCATAATTTCTTTCGCTTTCTTTTTACAAAGTTGAGAGGTCTTTATCATCTTAAAAGGCTTGTAAAATGGTCTTGCTCTCCTCTACCTTCAGCTCCACCCTCTTTCTCTTCCATTTCCTTTCTACTTATCATTGATTTTCATCTTCCTCTCTCATTTTTCTCTTCGACTCTATGTGGTGGCGCTTGGGTCCTCGAGAAAACTCTGACCCGGCCCAGTCAAGGTCTTTGCCACCCTCCAATATATGAAGAAATCATTTTCACTTTCATCTTTTTCTTTTTGTTGTTGTTCTTCTTGTTCGTCTCCTGTTCATATGTTGTGTTTGTTCAGGTTAAAGGCATCGTTTAACAATGTTAAATCTGAGATGCATGGCCCCATGTGTTATCAGTGTCTGTGATATGTTGTAATATTGAAGCCCTAAAAAAATTGCGATTCAAAATGATCATGAAGTAAAAAAAAAGTAAAAATCTTTGAGTGACCGGTTTTACCAAACTCATTTTCCCAAATAGACTGTAGTGTTATGAAAACCGTCAGGAAAATTTTTAAATTTCGATTTCCAATCATAAATATCTTGATAATCAGACAGGCGATCGACTTGTAAGAGTCATGGGGTTCCTGACTGACCTAAAGGTTTATAATTATCATTGCAACATGAGCTAAATCCAGGATTTTGTTTCAGAATCAGAGACAAATATACCCAATCACTTTAATCTTTATTTACATTTTTTTCATAGCAATATTGGCACTTAACAAACTATAGGACGCAAGACATGTTCCACTCGGGATGGGAAGAAATTTTCCCTTGACGCTTTTCCTTGCCGCCAGTGCGCCCCTACACTTTTACAATTCTCCTGCCGCCATTGTTGATACACACACACGCTCAGTGGCGTAATTAAGCAAACATGTTGTATGAGGGAGCCCTTCCCTGTACTAAGAAGTTCATGCAGCTATTATATTTCATAAACATTTCACAGTATAGCAACTCCATGGGTAAATTACATATTTTATTTTTAAAACGCTAGAAAATTTCACGTTTCGTACTATGGAACATTTTGAACCACATATATATATATATATATATATATACATATAAAGTAGGTCTGAACTTAATATGCGACCTTCCAATTTCGGGGAAGGAGACTCGATCCTATCTAATTATGTAGATTAACGGCTTACATTTTGTTTAGATACAATTATTATGCGAGAAAGCGTATCTAACAAAATTCCTTTTTTCAATAGTGAAACTTTGCATTCTGGACGACCTCCGAATCTGAACAGTGTGTCACATTGTCTTTAGAACTTGAATTCATTATTTACCAAACAAATATTGCTCATTTTAATTTTATTTAATTTATCGGTAGGGAGACCACTTTATACAAAAGCTTCCCGTAGTCTACTAGGAGTTACCGCATCTTTTTGCAGAAATATTTCACCCATCTTATCTTAGTTTTGAAATAATTCTTCAAATATATTTTAGATTGTACAAGCCTATAGCATAAGCGGCTTGGCATAATACACGTGTATATGAGAGAATTCCCGTTTTCTATTCAGGACATTTTGATAATCAATAGCAAAGACTTGCATTCAGAAGATATATGAGAGGAGAAGTTACTAAGAAAATTATGATATGGGTCTCTATTATTGAATAATGAATAGTCTCACATATTTCAAAAGAATCATGAATCATGTGAATAGATTGCATTTCAATCTCAAAATGATATCAAATCATATAAATGTGTATTTTTAAAGCACGTATCCTATAAATAGAATTTCGCATTTTTATTTTAGAAATTATTTATAGTTTGTCAATAGTCTCAAAGAGGTATTACATGTACACTGTAGATAAAAAGATATACAATTTCCATTCTTCTGGATTAGCTACTTTCTCTCTTTCCCAAATGTCACAATGAACTAGATTTATATAAAAACGCGTTTTAAAGACATATCCTAAACATAATATTTAGCAATATATATATTTATTTATTTTTATTTATTTATTTATTTATTTTTTTTTTTTGGGGGGGGGTCAATAATCGCAGGATATGAATTTTACATGTGCATTGTGAATAGACGGATATACTTACACTTTTATTTTGTTAAAAAGACACGTTCTCTCTTTATCAAACATCTATAATTGATGACATTTGTTTGACTTTCTTCATCTCGCCTTTCTTTTTTTCTTCTCCCAAACCCATTTCCCATTGGGTTTTTCTCTCTGTCTCTGTCTCCGACTGTCTCTCTCTCTCTCTCTTTCCCTTGAATTAAAAACCTAAGTAGAGGATACTAATGTCATATTATATTAATGACAGTTAGAATATTTAGAACAGAACTGTCATCTATACTTGATAATAATATTCACTCTATTCAACCTGTCCTATCACATCACCAGATTGAGAAGCTGACGCACTGCTTTGCAGATCTGGGTTCTGCTGCATCCTGTCATTACGCGAGAGGTCTATGCTCTATGCCAAATCTTCGATCACTGAATATGAACTTTATGGAGCTGAGTGATGAGTTCTACTCAACGATGGCCTCCGAGGCATCAAGATCAAAGGTATACCAAACACTATTTCTATTGGAAACGAAATATTGCCAGTTTTGCATTCTTCAATCTCAACTGATGGGGTGACTTTTTTTGTTATACTATTTTTAAAGTCTTCATTTATTTACATTAGTTAGGAGCACTATCCTATTAATATTATGAATAGTTAGGCCATGCTGAAAAGGAAATAAATACCGGTAAATAGAGTGACCCTTGGTGTCATAATGTAAGCCTGTTTTAGAAGCATGTTTCCTCGAAATACCTTTTCGCATTCTATATTTAGAAATTATATACATTTTGTCAGTAGTCGCAGGAAATTTATTTTTCATGTGCATTGTAAATACACGGATTTAATTTTTTTTTTTGCATGAACGACACGGTCTCTCTTTTCTAACTCTTTATAATTTATCACAACGATATCTTTCCAAATATATTTGCACTCTTCAAACTCAACTTTTTAGGTAACTGTAATTTTTCCACCCTAAAATATATAATTTATTTTCATTAGTTACGAGCACGCTAATATCAATATGATAAATAGTTTGGCGATGCTGACAAGGAAATAACTCATGTGAATAAAATGGACTCTGGTGTCATCATGAATTAGATTCATATAACAATCCGTTTTACAGACACGTATCCTCTAAATAGTATTTCAATTGTTTTTAAATATTATTTATGTTTTGTCAATAGTCTTAATATAAGAATAACATATATCACGTACACTGTAGAGGGGAAGCATATTATTTGGGTCAATGTCGCTATTCATAAGGACCGCTATTCATAAGGTCCGCTATTCATAAGGTCCATTATTCATAAGGACCGCTATTCATAAGGTCCGCTTTTCATAATTGGAGAAAAGGGTCATTATTCATAAGGGTCATTATTCATAAGGACCGCTATTCATGATACGAAATGAGGTTCGCTATTCATAATACGACCCCCCCCCCCCTCGGCTACGTTCCTGGTCCTGTAGGGGGGGGGCGATATATAGCCCTGAATAGTTGTCTCTTTTTAAAGTAATTATATTTTATCTGTTATCTTTGATAATTATATAGAGCCAACCCCCGCTCATGTGGTGACGAAAAAAAAGTAAAACATAACACACATGTAATCCTATCGTAAATTTCCCACTAGTTGGAAATCTTGCCCCACCACCCTGCCCCCGACTGATCTTATCCAGGCTACGCCACTGAGATATTAAGTACGCCAAGCAGGCCCATTATCCATTTTAGCTTGCTATTTAAGAAACTAGTAATTGTTTATACGACAATAATGTTTTTGCAGAAAGTAATTTTTATTAGGACTTATGGACCTACAAATTACTGAGCGGAATTGGACCTGACAATTGGACCTAAGCCCAGTATCTACCGATCCCCCGAGCCCCCCCCCCCCATCAGTACGCCCCGGCGCGGATCCAGAATTTTCCAATGGGGGGGGGGGGGACGGAAATTTGAAAAATGCGCAGACCGTTTTTTCAACTCAACATACCAATACTGACAAGGTCATATTAGAAGCACGATACGGGTACCTAGAAGCAGGAACAATTTTGGAAAGGGGTGCAAGCTCACTTCACGTCTCTTGTCCGATATCAACATTCCCCGTTTTTAAGATATACATTTTTTGACATTTTCATCGGGGGGGGGGGGGGGGGGGGCTAAAGCCTCTTGCCCGAAAAGGTAATTTTCTAGTTCACAATTCTGCTTGTGAGCGAAACGAGCGAGCAAAAATTTGAGCATTATATGTTTTTTGTGAAAGTGTTATTTATCACCAAGATAAACGAGAAAAGATATCAAAAATTCATATTCGGGCAGCTTGCTGTCCCCCCCCCCCCCCAGTGCCCTCCCCCACCCATTACGCGCGAAAGCTTTGAACTTTCATTAATTATCAAAGCTAAAATGTAAATTATTTTTTAAAAATACACAATACAGGGGATGCAACCGTTTACATAATGTCTTACGGTAAAAAAAAAATCGTATCTGATTCTGAGTATCCAATTTCCTTACTTATATGGAAAATATGTCGTGCGACATTGTATATTTACGAAAAGCTTGAATATGGTATATAACTTAAGTCCCTACAACCCCCTCTCTGTCGCTTTCTGTCTTTGCTGAGGATAAGATACATGATAGATCAACCCCTTGAAGGCAACACTGATACAACCCCACCACCATCACCCTTAAACACACACAGGCTACGCCATCTATGAACTACTTGGACGAGAATTGTCGCTAATATGTACATGTACCAAGGGAATACTGCCGGGAGGGTGGGCCGAATTGGAGGGGGGGGGGGGCTGGTGACCGGAATGATGGGACACGTTCATTAGTTAGGCACGCCTTTCTTTCTTCAGAAATGTGAGTTTTCAATAAATATTTTCTTCAAATGTTTGGGACCATGTGGCCTACCCCACCCCCCGGCCTACGCTGTAGCCATGGGGTGTCCAGTATGTCACTTTCTTATTAACATTTAGTTTATTGCTTATGTAATTTTGACTTTTTCGGTATTATGAATAGCGACCCTCTCGTCGAATTATGAATAGCGACCCCCTACTCCTATTATGGATAGCAAACCTCATTTCGTATTATGAATATCGACCCTCTTCTTCTATTATGAATAGCGACCCTCGTTTCGTATTATGAATAGCGACCCTCGTTTCGTATTATGAATAGCGACCCTCTTCCCCTTTTATGAATAGCGACCCCTTATTCCTATTATGAATAGCGACCCTCATTTCATATTATGAATAGCGACCCTCTTCTCCTTTTATGAATAGCGACCCTCTTCTCCTATTATGAATAGCGACCCCCTACTCCTATTATGAATAGCGACCCTCTTCTTCTATTATGAATAGAGACCCTCTTCTCCTATTATGAATAGCGACCCCCTACTCCTATTATGAATAGAGACCCTCTTCTCCTATTATGAATAGAGACCCTCATTTCGTATTATGAATAGCGACCCTCTTCTTCTATTATGAATAGCGACCCTCTTCTCCTATTATGAATAGCGACCCTCATTTCCTATCATGAATAGCGACCCTCTTCTCCTATTATGAATAGCGACCCTCTTCTCCTATTATGAATAGCGACCCTCTTCTCCTATTATGAATAGCGAACCTCATTTCGTATTATGAATAGCGACCCTCTTCTCCTATTATGAATAGCGACCCTCATTTCCTATTATGAATAGCGACCCTCTTCTCCTATTATGAATAGCGACCCTCTTCTCCTATGATGAATAGCGACCCTCTTCTCCTATGATGAATAGCAACCCTCTTCTCCTATTATGAATAGCGAACCTCATTCCATATTATGAATAGCGACCCTCTTCTCCTATTATGAATAGCGACCCTCTTCTCCTATTATGAATAGCGACCCTCATTTCGTATTATGAATAGCGACCCTCTTCCCGTGTTATGAATAGCGACCCTTATAAGTAATGAACCTTATTTCGAATTATGAATAGCGACCCTCTCGTCGTATTATGAATAGCGACCCTGATTTCATATTATGAATAGCGGTCCTTATGATTAATGACCCTTAATGTGAATTATGAATAGCGACCCTCATCTCACGTTATGAATAGCGGTCCTTATGATTAACGAACCTTATTTATTTATGAATAGTGACCCTCTTTTGCCATTATGAATAGCGGACCAGGAAGTACGGGAATTTCACGTTATGAATAACGGTCCTTATGAATAGCGGACCTTATGAATAGCGGTCCTTATGAATAGCGAATAGACCCCTATTATTTTGCTTGAACAGACAGGTTTCCCTTTTATCAAATATATATAATTTATCTCATTTGTTTGTCTTTTTCATCTCGACTTTCTTTGCTCTTGTCACACCCATTTCCCTTTTTGTTTGTATTCCCCCTCCCTCCCTCCCTCTCTCTCTCTCTCTCTCTCTCTCACACACACACTCTTTCTCCTTTTCTTGCTGTAAAGGTTAATTAGCGGTTTATGATGTTACATTAATGACACTGACAAATATTTAAATCAGACATGTCTTTACTCGTCTACTTGTCTATACTTGAAAATACTACATGTATTCACTCTATTCAACCTGTCCTGTCCCATCGAAGACAATAAATAGTATCTGGCATTCTATATTTAAAAATTATTTAGATTTTGTCAGTAGTCGCAGAAAATTTATTTCACATGTGTATTGTAAATAAACGGATATATCCCTTTTTTTTTTCTCTCTCACTAACTGTATTTAATTACATTTTTTTTTTTTTTAGCTCATCCGGCCTGAAGGACGTCCGTCCTTCCGTCAGTCCATAGTTTTCAAAATGCTTCTTCTTCGTTTTTTTTTCAACCGATTTTGATTCTGATTGTTTCATATGATAGGGCTAGGTGGGGGATTTAAAACGTCTACACAGAATCGTGACATTCATTATCTATGCTAATTTATGCAAATTTATTCGAAATCACTAAAAATACTTCTTCTCCTTCATTTCTCGACCGATTTTGATTTGGTTTGCTTTATCTGGTAGAGCTAACTTTGGTACACAAAACTTCTACACAGAATTTTGAAATAGTTCTCCATTAATTAATTATGGTAATTTATGCAAATTTATTCCAAAAATAACAAAAATTGCTGCTTCTCCTTCATATTTCGACCGATTTTAATTTGGTTTGCTTTATATCGTAGAGCTAACTTTGGTACACTAAACTTCTACACAGAATTTCGAAATTGTTCTCCATTAATTAATTACGGTAATTTATGCAAATTTAGTCCAAAAATAACAAAAATTCCATTTCCTTTAGTTTCTATATACATTTCCTTTAATTTCTATTTACATTTCCTTTAATTAGGTGATACGTACGTAGACGTATCACCTTTTGATTTCGTCAAGATTTTTATTATTTATTTATTTATTATTATTTATTATTATTCTTCCTCGAATTTGTTCGCAGGATATCTCAAGACTGAATAAAGCCATTATCATGAAACTTGCCATGATGATAGATCTTAGTCTTACTTAGAACTGCGTGACTTTTTAGAGAGTCAAAATTATCGTGACGTCATCCAGGCGCCATTTTGTGAAAATCAACTAATGATCATATCTTCATAACGGAAAAGTATTTCTCATTCATAATTATCACGATTAAGATAAATGTCCGTCCGGTCAAGTTGAGGTCAATAAAAGTGCGCAAATGCGCGCGTGCGCGTTCGTCCGCGCGTTTACGCGCGCGCAAAAATTTAAAATGCTCCAAATCATCCCAAATTTTTTTTGCATACGTTTCAGGCCATATGGAGCATTTGATAAAAAAATTACGCACACGCGCATTCGCCCGCGTTTTCGCGCGTACTGGCATTTTGCAACATAGAATCGCCGATTTTTTTCTGTCATCATATTCGGTACATTTTCCAAGCATTTTGATAATTTGTTCACCTTTTATTAACGCAATGAGCGTCCGTCAAAGTTGAGAGCACGCGCGGATTTGCGTTATCTTTATCCACAATACATGGGCAAAAACATGCCTATATAAAATTCATTGTAACTCTTTAGAATAGATAGAAACTTCTAATATTTTTTCATATTTGGATAGATTATGAGTCGGAGATATGATTTCATGTCTCATTTTATCCTCAATTAACTCATGACGTCATCATAATGGCCTCCAAACTCAAAA